TCCCTCTCTCTCTGCCCCTCCCCCGTTCATGCTCTGTCTCTCTCTGTCCCAAAAATAAATAAACATTGAAAAAAAATTTTTTTTAAAAAAAGAAAAACAAAAGGAAGAGAAATTGTATCTAACATTGTCCTTTTATTACCCAGCTGCATCTACATGGACATTAATGTGAATGGTTACCTCCAAGCATCGATGTTATTTTTAACTTAGAATGTTCAATCTTTGCTCAAAGTAAGTATGTGATTAGTGTTTTGAGGAACAGAATTGCTCTAATTTAAAGGCAAAGGCTGGAAAATGTTCTAGAAAAGGGGGGAAATCTAAGCTCTTTATAAAACATATGAAAATTCCTCAAAATTGCTTTTTAAAAAATAATTTAAATTATGGGCTTCTCAGTCGACATTTCCAAAAGGCCCCCTAATTCTTTTTTAATTCTTTCCAAACTACATAATCTCCGAGAGCCCGGCCCCTCTTTTCATCGGTGTCTCTGCAATACAAGAGCCACTAGGGTGGCATTTTCACCTCTAGATACATGGGGTGAAGCAGTTCTGGGTTTGCTATTCTGCAGTTACATGTCACATTATCCTAATTGATACTGCTATTATCTAAAACCATTAACTTGCTGTAAGGATTAAACAATCACTGAAGTGACCACTCTGCCCCCATATTAACCCATATATGACATGTGTGTGTTTTAAGGCACAGCAGTGCTTCCAAAAAGTTCAGATCATTGAAGTCTTCATCTGTGGCTATCAAACTTGTTTTCACTCCCAACACACCTAAGAAATGTGAAACGCTTCAATCCGTAGAAATGATCCTGGGGGTGAAGGGGAGGCGTATACTCACACACTGGGTCCTGTCATTTGAGAAGCCTCTGAGTTGGTTTTGATAAGTCAACACACCCCGAGAGGGCAATAAGGAGAGAGAGCCATGTAAACCTCACCTCAGGAGGATGAAAATCACTGGTTTGGCAGAGCATTCATTGTCCTGTGGGCAGAGACCACAGGACAGCTTCTAGCTCCAGCCCCCTGTCCAACTCACCTCTGAAGTTAAGAAGGCTCTTTTTTTTTCATTAGTCTCTGGGTTTTGGTAGGAAGACAAGCAAAAATAGAACAACATCTCTTCCCTCCAGAAAGGAGTAGGGCCAGCTGTGCTCCTGGGCAAAGGAGGTGGCCACCCACGAGGTATAGTCTCTGGTGGAGGAGCTAAATGAACCTCTCCAACAGTTGCCTGAACCCCCTTCACAAAGACAATTTATCTCATCCCGCTGTTAGCGATCCTGCGGAAAATAGAATCTTCCTGGCTTAAACACAGACATACTATATGCAGATGACTGATGATACATAGCTCCTTTCTTGCAACCAGGCTTTGATTAGAACGTAGAAGGATACAGGGTACAGGAGAAGCTGCCACAGGAGGAGCAAGGCTGAAGTAAGAGGGAGATGCCTGGAGGCCTTTATCTCCCACGTGACTTAGCCCAGGCAGATACAGCAGGTGAAGACAAGGCTATTCCAGGGTTGTCCGAAAAAAAAGACAACTAAAACATCTGGATATTACTTCCACTTTTAGCACAAGTATTTTCTATACAATTTTAAAACAGGTTCTGGCTGCACTCTAAAACCTTCAACTAATGTTTATTGTTAAACAGGACAGTGAGTGAATTCATTAATTAAGGCCTTTGCATCCTTATCATCACTTTTGTGTGTTTTCAAACCATGATGCTCTACCTTTTTTTAACTCCATTAATCTAGGAATAAGTGGCAATATATTGATATCTGTACATCTTTTTAGATTCTGTGGGCCTTACGCTGTCCTGAAGCGGCCCAAGAGCCATAAAACTGTCCCAAATGTTCACTTTTATTCAAGTCATAGCATTTGGCTTAATCACACTATTATTTTTCAAAAAGAAATTGTAAGCCAATCTCCAATGCATTAATTTGTTAACCATTCCTTTGCTAACTATTCTAACATTTCATGGCAGTCCCAACATACGTGTTTAAACAGAATGCATTCACACATAAAGTGAGACATTTTCTATTCCGATGACTTCATCATTTCATGATTAATATCAGTGTAGAGTGCTGACTGGAGGTCTCACATAAATCATCAAAGCAAATTAAAGTAGCAAAACAATATAAGTTGCAATTATCAAGTTCCCATTCATGTGGTTCTAGGTTCAGCTGGAAGATAAGCTAAGTACCTACATTCTGTCACTTACTTTTGAAAGATACAATTTTTAGGCCCCAGTAATTTGATTGATAAGTACATTTGCTTCCACATAATAAATGCTCACTCTGTGCCAGTGTACTCATTTTAGTTATGATACTTACCATAGCTAACACCCCTCGTGGCTAAAAGTCACCCACTCCCTAGGATTTGGTCAAGGGTGGCAAGAACAGTCCTCTATTGTGCTGACCACTATCTTAAGAGTTGACCTGGAGTACTGGACTCTGCCCAGGGAATCAATGGTAATTCTCCCACCTGGTCAAATAAAGTCCCTCCGGAATTATTCAAGACAGTAAGGAGAGAATTGGCCAGCCAATGAAGAAGAATGGAGCAGAGGGAAGTTAGGTTGAGACCGCATAAAAACAAAACCTTCAGATGGCCTGAAGGTCCCTTTGGCAGCTCAAGGAGGCAAAGGACATGGGTACCGGTGGAACCCTTCACCTGTATTTTCTCATTAAATCCATCCCAAAACCTAACACGATGTTATTATCCCCATTTTATAGATAAGCTGATTCTATAGTAAAATTAATGTTTACAATCTTTAGAAGGTTCAAATAAGCAATTATCACCAATACCCCACTTCTCAAATCCTTGTCTACTTTTGGCTGGCCATCAGACTATAGGAAGGAGACAGGATTCATAGGAATTATGATGGGATTGCTGGGAACCAGAATTTAGTATATAAGGGGAGGGTAACAGAAGGCAGGGAAAAGATGCTCATGAAGGTTTCCCTCTTCTCAAAAAGTGGGTGTTGTTAAGGAAATAGTGAGTGAGAAAGAGAGAAAGAGAGAGAGAGAGAAAAACCAAGAAAAAGACTCTTAACTATAGCAAACAAACTGATGGCTACCAGAGGGTGGAGGGAGGTTGAAATTGGTGATGGGGATTTAAGAGTAGTACACTTATCATGATGAGCCCTGAGTACCATACAGAATTGTTGAATCACTATATTTTACCCCTGAAACTAACATAACACTATATATTAACTACACTGGGATTAAAATTTAAAACTTCTAAAAACTAAACAGAATAAAACAAAATACAAAATAAAAACAAAACAAAATAACAAACGTAACACCATAACATAACATAACATAATGTAACATGTGGGTGTTGTTGAGCCACAACTGCTGAGTTAAGAACAGAAAAAAGATGCTTAGGAGCAACTGGGAAGACAAATCAAATTAGAAAGGAAAAAGATGCTGGGAAAGTAGCTAAAACTGGATACCATCACAGAGCACAAAATGGCATGCAGCTCAGAATTGAGACTTTGAGGAGAAATTCTAGATCCCCGGATGTGGTGAGAAATCTGGAAAATCCTGTACAGGCAAGGGGTCAGCTAGCCCAAGAGAAATTATTCTAGAAATGACAAATTCGAGCACCTTTGGCTGCCTATTTTAATCTTGTGTCCTTATCATTGCCAAAAGGCTCTTCCCAATGTCCTTCGAAATGTCTCCAGCATTCCTTGAAGCCTGATTTGTGCCTCTTCAATACTCCTTAGACACAGAGAGCTTCTGCTCAGCATCCTCATTTCAGAAAATTTCATCAGCCTGAAAATGGTCATTAGGCTGCCTCTTAGCATTCTGTCTTCTAAACTAAAGCGATTAATACAAAAGCTGGACGGCCACTTAGGGGGAGGTTACAAAGAAGATTCCAGCCTACAAAGTGAACCAGACTAGATGGTCCCCCAAGATATTTCCCAAACCAAGAGCTTTCGATTCAATTCCTGTCATCTTTTTTGTGAAGTAAGTTTTCCATCAATTTGTTCATTTTTGTCACTGTATCAGTCACCTGTCCAATTTCTCCATATTCTTTTAATATCTTTAAATATAATATGCACAGGAACAGTTTCTCACAATATAAAACAAAGCCTCATTAATTCAGAATAAGTTGGAAAAGTCATGTCCCACTAAGAAACCAGTAAAAAGTATTTTCAATTCAAACAATTGTCTCCTATAGAACACTACATAATAGATATTGATAAACAAAATGATAAAGTTAATGAAAGGTGGTGAGTTACAACAACTTTATTTTTATGGCACTTTATACTTTTCAAAGTATTATTCCATCTTATTTTGCCAATTTTACTCAGTATATAAATGCAATTTATAGGTAATAGATCATCAAACCTATATCAGAAAGGCTTGAATTATTCTGCTAAACTTGAACTTTTAACTCAATATGAATTATATATAATTATTCCAAGTCTGCATCAGAGCAGTCTGAATTAATGAGGTTCTGCTCTATTGTAGCTATTATAAACCTGACAATTTTATGGCCATCTTATATCCCAGGGTGTCATTTCCATCCACACATTAGTAATAAATACTGTTTCTTCATACAGGAACTTTTGTCATAACAGAGCATTCCACTTTAAAGAAGCTTCACCAAGTAAATTATCTAATAATATCTCAAACACCATAGAAATGTTTTACGAAAAATGTGCTAAGATTTCATTATACTCTCTAAAAATACTTGCTTTGACTTAAAATGAGAATCAATAAGGAGGATATCCCAAGATGTTAAGGACTCAACATGTCACAGAAATTATTACCTGTTTGTTCAGGGAAGAAAAAAGAGTCATAATTAATCCAATTAAGTAATGGAGCTAAATCAACACATGTATAAACCCAGACACAGAACCCTCTAGTTGAGTAACCTGGTGACCCTGAGAGGGTCTATGAGCATCTTCACCATGTTCACGTTCTTCTTACACCTGTGGTTGGAGCCAGAACAGTTTATTGTCTTGTCACAATGATCAGAAAGACAATGCCTTCACCTACCTTAAAAAGTCTTAAAATGTTAGCAACCATGATGGACACGGAGCTTGCTGCAGCACCTATGACACCAGAAATCTTGTCAGGCTTCGTGAAAATGGGTGGATCTCCATTCGCACACTTCACGTCGGAAGCGTCTTTCTCTATCAATGCCTGCACGAATGTTAATGACTGCTCCAAAGCATACGTGTCCCTGGAGCACGTGTCAAGGATCCGGACACCCAGAGTAATATTGGAGAGGAGATCAGGGTCCTTATTAATCTGGTCGATTGCATAAAGCATGGCCTCCAGTCTGTGGATCCCCTTTTCCTTCTTCAGCTCCCCACAAGGTACCCCTCTCTCTCCCTTTGCGTGGACAGGGAAGAGACCCCCCAAAATGATGTCCCCATCCACTCGTATGGAATGGGCATACTCCTGGCTGTGAGTTCTTTGCATCATTGTGAGGATCCAGTAGAACTTGGCCGTCAGGAGGAAGAAACAAGGGCAAGAGGCTGATCGCTTTCCCTCGCATACCATTTTCTCCACAGGTGGTGTTGCAACCCAAGACCCAGAGTTTATTCTTGCCACAGAAGAAGGGGCACCACCAGAGACTGCACCTTCTGGAGGCTACCATCAGGGCCCATGGGGGAAAAGGCTCTGTGGGTTTCAGCAAGTTTTCTTGATTTCAATGTCACAGTGAATTTCCATCAGACCCCTAAGGTTCAATTTTATTTCCATATAAAGTCAACTTGCCTGGAATGGTGCAAAAATTAGAATAACAGCTGAGGTTCTGAAGGTGGGATGAGGTCAACAATTCACGTCCTTGAAGTCAGCCCTGTAGAATTATTCCTGGGGGGCAGGGGGAGGGAAAAACAGGGTTCAGTTCAACGGGTCTACATTTTTCATATGTTTAAGTTCTGTTTACACCAACCTCTTTTTTTGTTTGTTGTTTCATTTCCCCTATTCAGTGAGAAACTAATTTTTTTTTTGTCCCCCTATGATTCTGAACACCTGGCTGCACTGCATCTAAACAGAGAGATTGATGACACTTTTGGAGCAAGGGAAACAGAAAAGTATCAGAAACTAGGTTGATTCTCCCAAGCCAGAAAGTATTTTTATTTACCATTTTATTTCAATAAATCCAATTTCCATGAGGGTAAAAATCCTGTGATTGATGGCACTATTTCTTTTCAAATCTGCTTTTACTTTTTACAGCTGTCTGAATTTAGCATTTAAATGCTGTCCACAAAATCATAATGAAAGTTTATTTTCTGTGATGTATTCAACAAGCCAGTCATCTGTTAATTTCATTTTTTTGGTGCCTCAGATTGCCCAGTGGGAAAAAGCGGTTACTCAAACACAAAAGAAAAGAAAGAAAGAAATCCACCCGAGGAGTCCAAAATGTATAAGTTTTATAGCTTGTGAAAAGATTTAACATAGAACGTCAGCTATTTCATATAAATTATCTCATTGTTCTCTAATAACAAAACAAAGACTTGAAAATGAAATACATGGGGAGGGTTATGTGTGAAGATATTCCTATGAATTTGTTGGGGTGGAAGCAATGGGTATGCTTATAGTTCTGAAGTAAACACTCTTTGATCCTAGAATCACTAGGAGCAAATCAGAGCTGGAGATCCATTGAAGAGCTTCTTAATTTTGTCTGACTCAGTGGGGAAAACAGTTATTTCATCAAGATTAGAAATAACCTAAAGTGAAAACATCTACCAGCAAATCTATAGAAAAAGTTTGTTCTAGGACCTTCAATCCTAAAGAATTCCACGAGATTCTTTCAAAGGACTTTTGAGGAGGTTTAACTGAAAGCAAAAACTGACTTAACATAAGGGAATCTGATATTTGAAACACATGTATAATTAAGAGAATAAACAACACTAACTTGTTTTGGCAGGATGGTTAATTGAAGGCTCGTTTCTGATGTATATATGTTTGAAGCCTGAAATTTGGACAACTCTCCTCTAACCTAGCCAACCAACATCTGGTTGTATTTTCCATTCACTTGTTTAATTTCCAGTTCATAAAATTTTCATTCCACACTCCCTGTCCCAAAGGAAAGTATACTGCCTCCCTAGAGGATAACTGAACATATGTCCAAAAGCTTTCAGAGAAAGCTGTACTTTTCTTCAATTTCAGATTAGAAAAGGGGGGTTCGCCATAGCCCACTGCCCTGGATTTCTGAGCATATACCTGGAGTACACTCAGAAATACAGCCAATGGCCCATTCTGCTGATAGGGTTCTATTCTGCCTATGACAAGCATCCCCTGCCTCCTGGCTCAGGCTAAGCCCTAGATTCCCTCCATCCTGCCCCAAAATACTTAGTCCTTTTCCGATTTTTCTCACCACTTGAATGATACTCCCTCATGCTCCATTCTCCTAGCAGCTGCTTCTCCCTCAGAAATTCTGTGATTTGACAATAGCCTGACCTCAGGCATTCCACAAAAGGAAACACTTAGAAAGTTAGCTTGACTTCCTGGATAAAACCATTTAAGTGAGGGACCATAAATTACATCAGCCACCCATTAAGAGATGTAGGATTATGTTTTACAGTTTCACAAGGAAGACCCGTTGTAAGACAATAAAACCTCATTAACTCTGATCACTAATTCAGAGATTGAGACCAAGTCCACATGGCTAGGCTGACCCTTAACGTACCCCTTCTGACAGAGCACAGAGTAAATGGATATGTGAAGGATAAATGTTTAAAGGGAAAAAGAAGGGGAAGGGCACCTGTTGTTCTCCAAAGACCAGCCTTTCTTCAGTACACCAAGCCAGTCCTAAGTACTTAAGAGAATAAACGGTTTTCAATTACACAAACATAAAAACAGTCCATCTGTTAATTACAAAACATCCTTCCCTGCTCCTGTGGCATTAACCCAGTTCCACTGGCTGTACAGTCCTGGAATTAATAAAATCGGGTTTCTTATAAAAGTATTTGTGTTTGTAATAATTTCTAGTCTTTTCAGCATCTCATCGGTCTGTTTAGAGATTTAAGTTAAGGAGAGGTTGAGGATGAGCAGCAGTGAGGCAAGAATTCATTTTATTTAGTGGATGAATGCACTTACATGGAAAACAAGAGGTTCCATCTTGGTTATTATTTATTGGACAGCTCACTTGAATTTTTGCTTAAGTTCCCTCCTCTGCAGCATAGAATTATTAGTACATGACCTCTCTAAAGCTTGGCGTTCTTGTCTGTAAGGGGATGACAGAACCTGTCACGCAGCACACACAGAAGACACAGTACCTGGCACAGGGTATGTGCTCAGTAAACAGGAGTTGTCATTGCTGATTTAGTCTGTAACTCATTTTCCACAATGGAGAGCAACTTTTTCTATATTTGCCTAGTTGGTGAGGTTTTTACTGAATTTTGTCACTTTAAAATTAAAATCAGAACTACTTACAAAATACTGAAATATTGCAGTTATATCAAAATCTGATACGTTGTCATAAAAATCAGACTCTCGACAGCTGAAAAGGTTTAGTTTCCCTTTTAAATTCTAAGGAAAAAATCTATTTCAAAGTTTGTGGAAAACCACATAAATTCAGTTTCATTATATAATCTTACATTGCCTAATCTTACTCTTATGCAATTCTTGTGAGCTTCAATCTAAACTCATCCTACTTGGGCTCCATGAGTTTTAAAGAAATAATGACCTTTTTGTACTATAAAACTAAATAGTTCTACTTCATGCTTTGTGCTAGATTTAGAATAAAACAGTTTTTCTCTCAAACGGACCTTCCTCTGGGAATGGGTACAAACTTCACCTGGGCTGACGGACTTCTTCAAGGAGGTGTGAGGTCTGCAATCCTGAAATCAACCTCTGAGGGGAGCAGATGCCTTGCACTATTTCTGAGCCCACAGGAAGGGCTTCAAGATCTTTGAGAAGGCTGAACCATTAACCCCCGAAGCCCTTTCTGTTCACTCCCTTCCAGCCAGTCTTAAGTATAAGGAACACCATCATACATCATTAGCACTTCACCAAAAGTCCCTGCTGGCCCGGGGAGAAGACCTCTGGCTGGAACTTGAGTCTGTGACTTCCTAAGAGTGCTCTGTTTCCTGAAAGGCCAGCAGTAAGGACAGCTCCTCAAGGGCCAGGACCCTGAATTCTGCTTCTCTTTATTGTCTACACACCTTCTCTTCTACCAAAGTCCCAAGTGTGTAACACAGTGGCTCATGAATTTTCATACACCCACCATTAGCTCTGGTAGAAATGAGAAAAGAAAGGTTGAGTATGACCCAAAGCCCTGAGCTAGTAAATGGCACCACAGTCAAAATCCTCAGGCCCCCAGGACGGGTCCTGTCCTTCAGAAAGCCCTCAGTGCTGCAGAGACTGGCTGTGAAAGCACCGGTGAGGATGAAGGTGCTTCCCCTCCACTGAAAGCTTACAGAAATGTGTAGATCTTCAACGGGTAGCCCTTGAAGAAAAATAATGTGCTAATTAGGAGGAGACAATCTGGGGGCATTTTCAGGGCAGGGTGATTTCCAAATCTCTCAAAGGGTTGAGAATATCAAGTATAGTTTGTCCAAACCTCTGCTTCCAACCAGGGTTCCTGGCGAGCCTGACGCCAGGGTGAGAACAAACCCACCCTCCCACATGGGACCCATCAGGTCTGTCAGCACATCCTCCTCCAGCACTTGGCAAGTGCTTTTAAGACACGGTATGGTAAAATCCTCACTGAGGAATATCATTAGCCAAGAATTGTGATTTTTTACTCCTAAAAAGGCCAAACAGCATCCCTATGCTGGATTCCATTCAGCTCTTTAACAAAAAGGTTAAGCTGAATATTGTCATCAACTCAAAATGGCAAATCTAGCAGTTTCAATTGAAACTGCCCACACTTGCAAGCTCTCTTAGGTTGCTTTAGAAAATGCATCACATTTGTCTATCGTCTCCCATGCTACGGCATGTGTGTGTGGCCCTGGAATCTTGGGGGTGCCCCAGAGCACGGATGGGCCAGGCAGAGCCCTCCCCTGGCAACAGAGGCCTGGAATTGGATCCTTGTTTGACGGTCACTGGCTGGCGACACTGAATATGTCACTTCACCTCTGTGTGCTTCCATTTCCTCATCTGTGAAATGAGTGAGATGGACCATGTGATCTCTAAGGTATCTTCCAGCTTCCCGTTCTGAGATTCTATTATTTAATAATAAGGGAATGAGATTACGCTCAAACACCAGAGCAAGGCTTTGCCAGCTGAACACAATAACTGATTTTGTTTGCAAGCTGAGTGACTTTTTCCCATCAGTGAGAGAGGGTTGTGAAAGCTCTTCTGTACAAGCAAGCCCCATATTAAGAAAATCTGATACATGAGCAGCTCAACTTACTAAACAGATAAATTAGAAGGTGATTATTTGCATTACAAAAGAATTCACCACAGGTTTCCCTTAAATAGCTAAATCCCCCATGCATTTAAAATGCAATCTGATTTAGCAGAATTCAATTTGTGCAGGTTTTTTCAATAACACAGCTATCGCATAAAAAGACCACAGTTAAACTAATGAGAAGCCACTTTTATAGTAT